AAATAGGTCACAGGGATGCAGACAGTGTTTTAAGTGTTGTGGATGTCAAGCTGCACTGAATGATGATGTGATCAGAACACTGCAGTGGTTTTATGTCCTCATTGCTAAAAGACTGTGTTTGCACTTTTCCTGAGTTAAACTTTTTCTAAATGGACACTTGCTGTCATGAAAATGGCTAAATAAACTATTATTAATGCCCCTGTTTTAATAATATTATTACTGTAGTTTCTGTTGGACCCAATCATTCTACAATCTTATACTCCTTGTAATACTGTACCTAAATTACACTAAAATAATGAAACAATATATTTAATTAATGCCCATTTGGGATAAATATGTAAAACGTATTGTTATTTTTGTCACAAAGGGAATCTCAGTATCCATTTTAAAAATAAGGATTACGATTTCATTTTAAATTGAACACACAAACTTGCTATTGGGACTAGAAATATCCATCCCTTGCCCCATAATGTCCACTAGATGGTGCTCTGGTCAAAGTCATTTTCCGTGGGAGATCTCCAATTGTGCTGGCTGTTTCTTTTCCCTTATCTGGACTTTGAAATACTTTTTTAAAGAGAACAAAATGAAAAATATGAAAAAGACAATAGATACCAAAGACTCATGATTAATGCCTGACCAAAACCCAAATATAAATCCCAACAACAAGAAATATTATATATACACAGTATACATAATGTTACATTAAATGGAAATAGCATACACTTTTCCTCCAAAAGTAAGAGCTATTAAAAAATACCGTTTTCTGATACAACTGGAGTTCTGAGCAGCTTAGTGGGCCAGCAGTCTGAGGCTGTGCAACCCACATTAATGAAACATGATTGGACACGCTCACTTGAAAACACAACTGGACTGTCTTGTGGTACAGTAAATACTGCATTAAACTGCAGGTGTATTGTAAATATTTCACAGCCTCACATTTCATAAAAGATTGATAGTGCCAACGGCTTCTTACTGTATGTAGTAAAAGAGTAAATACCCCCTGAATCGTAGAAGACGGTGATGGTTTAAAAGTACAATGCTGCACTATTTGAGGTCCATTTATTCCGTTTTTTTCATGTGTAAATAATCGATACAAACTCTTTTTGAATGTCAAAGACCATCGTCAATTTGTTGTGCTAATCTATAAAGCCAAGAGCCAACACATCACAAATAAATAACAGCAAGCTTAATGTATATGTACCGCCATAGATCAAACTTTTTTATTACGTCTTGGCAAACCAACATGTGAACCTGAGATACAATAAACAGAAAACTGAGAGTGATACAGCACATTTAAGGAAATACAGTAAAAAGCTTCAGTAGGAGAGAGGGGGAAGGTTTATCTCTCTCTCTTGTCTGTCCACAACACTATGGTGTTTTATTTAAGTTTTGCACATATGTAAGCACCAGGGAGACAAGACGTCCTTCACTGTAACCATTGCCTGTATATAGTATACCTCTTTTGGATGCTTACAGAGAAGCAGAGCTGGCAAAGAAACACCAAAACACTTGTTGATCACTATCCAAACCAAGTACAATTAGAGTGTCAGTGACCCAAACCTAAACATCTGTTTTGTATTTTTGCTGGCTTGCTGCTTGCTTGCTTCTCTCTGATCACATTTAGTTTTCTTGGCTCTGGAGAGACTCTGATAACGTAATGCTTTGAGCTAAAAGGTCTCTAAAGTGAATGTACAAAATATTAGGCATTCCTGCTATTTTCTATGAACACAGCTTTTCATTTGTGAGATGCACAATGAGTTATGTCTTCTTTTAAAAAAGGACATAGTCTTGCTTTAACACACACATGAAGTATTTCATGTCGTATTCCGTCCGTCTGGCAGTTTACTGATAAGTTTCCAAATCTAAATCTTGTTTGTTGAACTCATATCTGAATGCAAATATTTTTTTGTGTATTTAGTACAATAATACATTAACCAGCTTCTGAATTCCATTAAGATTATAATGCATCCATTGTGTATTTATGAGATGATACAAACCTGTTTTGTTCTCGTTTTCCCACTTCAACACATGCCCAACAGAGCGTGAGCTTCAATTTAGAGAACCTATGATTTAGTGTAATTAAAGTGATGGGAATGTCAAGCTCTTTCTTAATTAAATATCAATCATTTTAATTAAATCAGTCTCTGATCACTGAGGCAGACTATTGGGTCTGAATTGAATAAGCAAATTGGGAAAGGGCAATTCAATCTTAACGGCTTGATTTGCTAGAGGCCAATGAAAGCCAGCGTTTATTGTAAGGGTAAATAGTGTCTACATTTGGCCATAAATTATGAGGCCTAATGACATCAATAAAATAGGACAGGTTGTATAAAGCCCTTTTTTGAATGGTACCCCTGCCGTCACGTATGCTCTTTTTCAGCATGTGCTGGCCAGATTTTATTCCAGTAATAAAGAACCACAGACTTGCCCACTTAAAGGTCCCATGAAGTGTACTGCTTGTTCTGGTTATTTCAAAATAAGAGTTGAATAACACTGGTCTCAAACACAATTTGTCGATGGGAATTATTTAAAGAAAACAAATTCACTGCAAAAACTCCATGAATGACCAAGAGATTGCTTTATTTCTTCAAATCATACTTGTGTACAAAACGCACCAACTGGTTTTTGATAAATGCTGGATAGACATGTTGGTGTGCCTGCAGACACATTATGACACGAGTGACAAAATCTACCTGCAATGACGAGCACAAGCTTCAATCTGTCAACAGCACAGTATTAAAGCCTATCTATCAATATTTGATTATGAAATGCTTTATAAAGCACACTAATATGCTGCTGTAATAAAACAGTAATTTGTACATGATCAGTTACATAACACAGATATCATCCATCTTTTGGCTCTGATGCATGCATGAGGTCTGCTTACAGTATATTCTGTGACACCTGTGCAACATTTAAACCTTTTTTCAGTCTTGTATAGTCTTGTTTCTGCTCCATTAAATCAGGTCAAACTCCCTAACTGTATACATGCAATGAAAAAGGCCTTTGATTCCCATTTTACCTCTTTAAAGACAAAACATGATAATTAAAGGGATTTATTTAAGACCAAAGACATGTCGCTTTTACCCCAAGACCGAAAATGTGGACAGGAATTGAATAAGACGCAACTGCTCTTCCCTCCACAACTGCAATAATGATTATGACTTGATTGTTTCCAGTTACAAACCATGTCATTATCACGGCTTGTGGGCTGAGAATCTCCCTTTACATAATGAGCATGTATAAGAATATCATGTATGTATGCGACAGCTTGTTTGCATGTCTGTGTGTCTCTCTCTCTCTCGCTCTGTGTGTGGGATGCGTGTTGACAATGTGTCTGCCAGCACACATTTTTGTGTGCGTCTGTGTCTACACTGCTGTGTTCCAGCTGTCTGAGTGGATAAGGCTCAGTGGGGGGACAAACACTGTATTGAAACACACACACACACACACACGATAGAATAGCTGTGGGGACTGTGCTATAAAGGGGAGTGTCTGTTAGCATTTATTCAGCAGAGTTTTGACAAGACCACAGATCCCAACTATACTGTGAAGCAGAATTAATGGGAAACTGAGAACGGGATATATTCTGCAACATGCTGGTGTTAATGAGAAATGTACTTACCTGCAGTGGAAAGATAAATGCTATATTTTTCAGGACATATTGCAAACTATTGCAAAGTTTGTCATCTTGGTTCATTTATTATATTTTTTACTGGCATAATGCATGTTTATAAAACAACAGAAGACAAAAGTCAATTGACAAACAGTGCTTGGTAATTTTATGTCGTGATGCTTTCTTTGTCGGGGCGACCGTGGCTTAAGAGGGTTGTCTGGTAACCGCAGGGTCAACGGTTCGATCCTCGACTGGGACGTGCCACGTGTCGAAGTGTCCCTGAGCAAGACACTGAACCCCCGGCTCCCCGGGTGCCTGTCATTGGCAGCCCACTGCTCCCTATATACAGGGACAAATTTCGTAATAATGCAGAGGTCAAATTTCGTGTATGTGTATATGACAACAAAAAGGGTTTCTATTCTATTCTACTTCTCCGACTCTTGGCTTGCTCATTAAACTGCTGATCTGCTTTTTGAAGTGTTACTTCTCTGAACACATTCAACGCAATATTTATTACTTTGTATGATTATTTGCTTAATGAACCTAAATAACACACTTTACAGGGACTTGAGAAATGTTCAAAAGATCGTTACGCTGCAAAGTCTTAGAAGTTATATCTTTGTGCGAAACGAGCCACCATCACCGCTCCATACCCTTCAGATCCCGAGTGGCCAGGAGAAACCTAAACGATGAGACAGGAAAACTCTCAGAGTGCTTCCAGCCACCCGGCTCATTAAAATATCATAACCTCATGACAAAGATTTTCCTCTAAAAGCTAACTGGGTGCCAGTCACACATAAGTTCCTCTATTCTGGGCATCATAGGACATTTCCCAATACAGAACAGAACATTCAATAATATAGGCATACTCTCTTTAATGTGCATCATACCACCATACCACCATCATTAAACTCATCTGACATGTAGCTCCAATCAATTTCAAACTTTTACAGGATTTCTTTCTTCACCTTTCTAATCTATGCACAATACTTTCCACAATTTTGCTCTCCTATAAATATCCTTTCAGTGATTAAAAAAAAAAAAAAGTGTCAAGGTTTCAAACATCCGGTGTAAACTGTGTCGAATATGAGGCAGATGAATTGATGAATCAATAAATGTACGTGTGACAGACTCCTCCAGTTTTACCTGCTGTCAGTGAAGACATTTGTATCAGTCTGTAACAACTGCATGCAAGCTTGTGGCCTGTCGTGGTCTTCTTCTGTCCGAGGGTTTTATGGCGAACATCAAATGTGTGAGAATGACACACACTGCATGACCTCAGTACATAACAACATTTGCGCTTTTCTAGTTTTGGATATCTTAACGCTTAGTTGCCGAGTGTCACACAGGCAACCGGAGTCCTTCACATTCCAAATCTAAACAATATCAGAAGGCATTAGTGTAGTCCATTAACCTCCATTAAGCTCCCTCATCGTGTATAAGACCTCTGCCAGTTGTAAATGGCATGGATATTATGGGAACACGCTGGCACTCGTTTACATGTACTGACACTGCGGTGGCGGAAAACCCTCCCTCCTGCTCCTCCCCCCAGCCCCCTCCTCCTAGCAGCGAGTTGCTTTGCTCTCTCTTCTGCAGCGAAGAAGTCCGTGGTCGCCCTGAAGAACTCCAGCAGAGCTCTGTGGCTCCAGTTGGTCCGACGGCTCGCCATCCCACTGTTCGGTACAGCCGCAGGACCGGCTGCACCAAATGCACTAGCGGCGCTCCACTCGGGCTGGGTGGAGAAACCACAGTGACTTCCACGGCCAGTCAGGAGGAGGAAAAAATGTGGGTTTGTCTCAAAGAGTTCAAAGGGTACCGTGGATTGGGCGTCACCGCGGACTGGGTCATCCTGAGCGCACACGCTCAGAACAGGAATAGCCACTTCATCCACGTCTCTCAAGGGTTCATTGCGTTCCCAGTAAGCATCCCAGGTACCTGAAGTATTGCAGATACTGCTCGTCCCTGTCGGTGCTGCTGGTGCTGAGCCCACCTGTCCGGTCTGACAGAACAACGCCTCCTCCAGGCCACGTAAGGAACAGCTAGAAAACAGGGTGTCAGTCTGTATGTTCTCAGCCAGCACCGTCTTGTACCTATGCAGATCATCCGAGTACACACACACACAAGCACAAAAAGAACAGAAGCATATAAATAAACAGGAAGAAAAAGAGAAAACCAGTAAATCAATTTTGAAGAGCTGGGTCAGTGGCATTGATTAGAAAAACGCTACTTGAATCACGATGTCTCTCAGAATCACTGAGCAGGCCATCTGTTGCTACAGCAACTTGATTGTCTCCTTAATTGTCTGTGCCTTTTCAGTAAATGGTTAGTGAGTATTTACAGCTGTTTTTCTTACAATCTCCTTGTAACTGTGTATCCCTTTTGGCTGATTGAAAATTCATGATTGTCCTTGTCTCAGTGTATTTGTCTGAGATTATCTCATTGTACAGCAGCCTCATGAAGCCGGGTTGTTTTGTCACTTGACACTGTGATATCGTACAGTTGACCTGCGGTAAACTGAAAGATCTCATTCTGTCTTCCAAAACTCATTATTCTCACAAACTAATTCACCATGTTCCAAAAGGATAGGAAATCCCAGAAATCTACTGTAGAAACATAACTTAAAATGTTGTTTCTGTAGTTCTGGTTGTTATTGGTAAGTGCTCAGGTTAATTGCTGACAGCTGGGAATGTGGCAACCTATCCTGCCTTAGTTGTGCAAACATCTTTCTTGTGTTAGGAGGGATTGTTGCTGTAATTTTAGGTGTGCTCATGTTCGGTTTTGCCTGACAAAACATCTGACTGTCTGTCTGTTTGACAGGCATTGCTATAGTGATATTGCAGTGCTTCCAGATTTCAGCAACTGCTTTGGTGAATACAATAACCAATAGAAATAAAGGCCAGAACTATACGAAATAAGACACGTATTGAACCAGAATCTTACTTTGAAGAAGTTGGGTCCACTTGAGTCTCTGTTTACCTCCCCTTTTATATTTTTATAGCACGTTTCCCTCCATACCTGCTGAGACAGATCTTCTGGTAGAGCGCCAACGCCCACTGCAGAGGCCAGCACAGCCCGTTCTCAAACCAGCTCTGACAGCGGAACACAGGTGACAGGCAGACGGCAGCCGTCATGTAGCTGGATGATCCACACTCCCCGAGGTAAGAAATGAGAAGGCCCGAGCCTGTGCTCTCGCTGACTGCATACAGTCTTCCTGCTGGCTGTCTATGGCGAATATAGCGCACTGCCTCGCGCAGATCCGCAGGGTCACCAAACTGCTGCAGCTTGAGGGTGGTGAGCGGGGTGCCGTTGTGGCTGCGGCGGTTGAAAACTGCCGGAAGGTAGCCATGGGACAGTGCCGTTTCACACAACTGTAGAGGAGAGGAGGTGGAACAAATATAAGTAAAAGGCTGTCAATGTGTCATCAAAAAGTGCAAGTGTTACGGATTGGGAACATTATGGAGGATTTGTGGGGAATTCTATATGTTGTATGATTGCTCCTTTGAATTAAACAGAGGATTTTTAGCCATAAGTCAAGAAGGGAAAGGTATTAATCCATGTATGTAATGTTACAGAGAAAAGACGAGGAATGGTTGATAGACTATGTATTTTACATACACTATGCCTACATAAATAAATCTCCTTTGTTCTTCTGAATAAGCCACACACTCTTAATAGTGTGGCCTGGTCTCCTGGTTGTAATGCCACAGAATTAAACAATGCCCCCTTTTAGAAATCAGTTTCCATTTAGTTTTACTAAATGTCTTTCTAGTTGTAACACCTGAAATGTCATGGTCCTACTTTTTATTGTAAGGAAAAAGAAATGAACAGTTGCTGAAGGAAGTGAGAACACAGTAAAACTGCACAAGTAGTGTAATTGTTGCTCTGTGCAGCTTACTTTACACTGCAATACTGCAGAATAGGTTCAACCGTCATTACGTCATTTAAAAAATAACCACTGAATCATGTTCTATTTTCTCTTCCAGTTTCACCTATTTATGATTTAAAATAGTGGAACAACCAACTCTTGACAGATACACATACTATTAAGCTTCTTTGTTATACAGTTTGGCACAGATGAACATGAGCAAACAAGAGTTATGCATCCCGAGATACTGCCTTCACAATGTGGCCCAAAGAAGCAAACAAATCAGTGGCCAAACATGGCCAAGGAAGCCTCCCTGTGGTGATTGTCAACTTTGAGGCAGTTTTAAGACAGCGTGGAGGCCTTGATGAAGGCCAATAATACAGTCTTGTTGGATGCGATGATGTCCTGCACGATGCAGCTCTCCTTGAGCTGGACAAAATTGGCACGAGAACCGAAAGGGCTCGACTATACGGAAACCTGTGATCTCATGTCCCTGGCAGGAAGTCTTTCCTTTCAGTCAGCTGCAGGTTGGAGAGAAATACCACCACTCTTCTAAAGTGAGATATTCTTTTTATGTATAATTTGATACAAACGTAACAGTATTACATATTTGGACTGAATGAATGAATGTAAGAAAACGCTAAACAACTGAATGGGAAGTAATGTCTCTTTCATGTTTCCTTAACGTGTAAATGTTTTTAATCAATGTTGTAAACTTGACAATATTGTTTTATTCAGCACATACATTTTTTTTTGTTGTTTTGCTATTCTTTAAATGCTGAGGAGAATATACTAGAATGACATATTCTCAAAGTTGACTGTGCTCAGAACAGCATAATTAAGGCTCCATAAAGCATAATATAAAACGGAAAACAAATTACAAGAACAAGCCAGTTTTATACAAAGCAGGTACAATTGAATAGAACTCTTTCAAATTCTCTTCTGCTCACCCAAAAGCCTTTTTATCTTCAAAACAAGGCTCAGGCACAAATGGTTACCATCATTTTTATTTTGCTTTGAAGGCTTATGCAAATCTGTCTCGCCAAATCTAATGGTGTATTCTCTCAGTAGACTGGCTCAGTAGTAAACTGTTGTTTACTAGAAACATTACAAGCCTGTAATGGTGTTAAAGAAGGAAAGCAGAGGAAATATATAAGTTCTACTCTAGTCTTGGCTGCAGATAAGCTTATTGTAAGCATCACTTAATTGGTTAAATCCTTAATCTTGTTAATGATAGTAGCAAGTGTAACATATTTAGCACAGATTCTCATATGACATATAATATATTATATACATTCCAATGAAACATCATCCGACTTTAATAAGTCTCAACCAAAGCTTATAACTACATAAAGTGTGAACAATAACTTTGGGCAGTTTTGATTTGGAGTAGAGCGGAAATGGCAATTAAATAGATCAACTACACTGACGAGCTCTCTATGCAGAGGAGGACTGAAAATGAGAGATTGTTCCCGCCAAGGCTCTGAATATTACCTTTTAGAATACATAATTCAATCCACCAGTGTCTGGAAACACAAAAAGAGTCTTCCCTCTTCCCCTCAACATAGAGGGAGTAGTGTTCAATTCTCTGTTTTCTCATACAAAGGTTTGTGGTCAGAAAAAATGGCAGAAGCCTGTTCAAACAAACTGTCCGATGTGTAATGAGTTCCATTCTGCTTTGAACCTGCAGAAATCCCAGTGCGATGCAGGAAGAGCTGCAGAATTGCTGCATTAAATATTTACCAGCTGAGGAAGACTGCAGCAGGATTTTTGCCACTTTCTGGTTGTCCGTATGAAAAGAGGATTTACTCGGCCAGATGCATCGCTTGGCAGTGTCGGGAGAGCTCTGAGCAGAGCCAATACACCGGAACACCATTCACTGGCTTATTCATTAGCCTCTTAGCTAACTCATTGCAGAGATACTCTTTTGAATCAAGAGACGAGGAGAAGAGCAATTTCTGATGAATATGAATCATTTGAGCTCGGTTGAATTCCCAAAGATATTGAGCGACACAATTACTTCACAATTTAAACTGCATATGAGGGCCGGGGCTGAGGGATGAATGTTGCTGGGATTAAATTCGGTGAACTGATTGTGAAATGATTTCGTCCTGCTCATGCCTGCCTGCTCCGGTATTAATACAGCGACACTGTGGGTGATGCACTGTGTGAATCACCCACAGGCACAGTGAGTGATGATTAACAACCGCTCCCAATACATTCCAAACACACCTTCAGGATGGCAAATAAAATGAATGGAATAATCCACTAAGCCCATAACAGACACAGCAGCGCCTGTTTCTGTTATAAAATGTGTTAGCAAAAGGAAGCAAAGCAGTAATATAATATGTTTTGGACAATCTGATAAAGTCACCAGCTTAGAGGGAACATTTGTTCTAAGTACTTCCTTAATGAGACTTTTATTTAGATTTAAGTAACTTGGCAATCATTTTCCTAAAGTATTATCATGACTGTGGGAATTTGTCCTTTTTAGAGATTTCAGCGTCATTGCAGGAGAAGTAAAAAGCGACCAGCTGCTGTTGCTGCAGCAGTTTTCTGCCAGTGCTGATAAACTGTCAGATCGGTGACAAATTCCTTCAGCAGTGACTCCAAACATTGGCTCCAAACATACCAGCCCTCATACACACTGTGCTTCTTATACACAAACACACACAGAAAGCATTATTCTCCTCCCCCGCTCTACTGAAACAACGACATAAATACAACAATCTTCCATTCAAAGCATATTGAATAAGTTGATCTACTTCTGTGAGACCATGTCTAGCATTAAACAAACTTCAGCAGCTTCATCTCCACATGTTGCCACAAATCAAGTTAAATTAAGGATGTTAATTCGATTAAAAGCCTTTTAGAGGCAACAAAGCATCTCGCTACAATGCTCTGTCTTCTGTTCAGGTCAATAGTTTCCCTAAATACTCTTGAACTGGCCTGTGTCCAGGGAATAGATTTGCTCCTCCGAGTTGGATTTGTGCAGGAGAGCAGGCAGCATTTCAGAAATACGGGATGATAATATTATACTATTGTATAGGCTCACCCAGCACTATATGTAGATAAAACAAATGATGAAAATCAAGATTAAAAGTGACTGTACTTGTTGTATAATCAATTCTATCTTTATAGTTAATTGGTTGGCAGTTTCCAGACCAACTAATTGTATGAACCCTAGCTAAACAAAGCAGAGTATGTTGCATTACAGCAGAGATAGAAAAACTCGGTGACTTCCATCCAACATGGCAGCACTGCTGGAGAAGAGCGGTTACTTAAAAGATCATGATACCATAGATATAGAGTGTTGAAAAGACTGCCTGCCATAGTAAAAACAGCAAGAACTGATGCACTAGCCAACTGGCTCCTGTTCCACAAGCCTCCATGAAAATGTGTTTCCTGTCTATATTCTATGTTAAATGAGCATCTACTTTGCATTTACTTGCATTTGCATACTTTGGATAAATTTGCATTTTGCTCAAAGTGTGGGGAGAATTGACTCTTTATCCCCGTGTCCTCTCGACACACAGATTTTGAATAGTGCAGCAGAACAGTTATGGGCTGAAATTCCTACCCTCTTCACTTAATAATAACATAAAGACCTTCAAGCTAAAGCTGAAAATCAACTCTCTGCACACATCGTCATTGTCCTCCTTCAAAACCAAGAGCTGACCAAAAAACTGTCCTACAGACTGGCACTGGTGTGTTGAAAACAAACAATAAAATTCACAAAGGAAACAGATCTAATGCCCCATTTAATTATGTGCCTACTCATTCAGTTCATCTACTGTATGTCCTAGTATATCTGGGTATTGTGCTTTGTATTGCTGGTCATGTTTCTGTGATTGAAACATTTCCGACCCTAGGACTGATTTAGTATTACTGCGACTATAACCTCTCTCACTGATCTAATCTTGACTTTTAATGGCAAAACCTCCCCACTTTTAGTGCATGAGTGCCAAGCTATTATCCCATCCTGCAAGGAATTCGGAAAACTCCAGGCTGCTCTCTCAGCAATCAGAAAAGACATTTATCTAAGTGTTGAAAGGTAAATTACACACAATGACCGGATTATATAATACCTCATATCTATGAGCAATGAAAAATACTTGATGTGAAAAAAAGTGCCAAAAGCATACTGAACAAAACACTTAACTAGGTCACAAAATGATAGTACACAAGTGAGTTTATGTCAGGAAAGTGTGACGCGTGTAAATCATATGAGGCAAAATGGTTGCAACAGCTGGATATCTGCCTCCAGGAACATTTTATGGCCTTTCAACGCTTTGCTCTAAACAGAGAAAACGGACCACTGAATATTGGGCTCACTCCTACGTGTCTTTACACACCTCAAGTCTATTAAACTGACCCCTGTGCGTGACCTTTTTGAAGTTGAGAGTAAAAATAAATTTAGTTTGTTGATGGCTGAGATCAGGAGAGTTTATGGAGGGTAGCTGACTATGCAGACTTTCTTGGACTTGAGAGTTTACATACATTCAGTGCTGGTTTAAATAGTTGGGAACTACGCTTCTTCACTTTCTCTGCAAAAATGATGAGAATCAATCAAGATCAAAGTCCTGTCTCACAATCTCACTGTAAAGATACTGCAGAAGCTGATTAGCTAACCACAAAAAAACTGACACGGTTATTTTACAGGGAGGTTATGTGCTTGACATGCATACACAATACAATGTGTTGTTTTTACGCTTTAGCATTAAAAAAAATGAACAAGATACAATGCCTTAATTAATGAGCTTTAGAGGTGCTGGTAGACTGATTTGGTTACCTTCGGACAGAGTAGGTAGCGGTTTCCCCCTGTTATGCTAAGCTAAGTTAAACAGCTTCATATTCACCACACAAGAGAGAGTTATCAATCTAATAACTCAGGAATCAGGAAAGCAAATAAGCATTTTCCCCTGAATTTCCAGCTTTTAATGTCTGCTTTAATTAAGAAATAGAAAAAACAATACAGAAAGAGATCAATGGCAATGTATTTTTGGTAAACGTGTTTTATGATCCTATTAGTAATTAGCAGTATTTCAATGCACAGTGACATATCTAACTAACTAACTGGCTGAAATAATGTAAGTATATTTTGTGTGTTTTGGGAGGAACACATTTCAGACTTTATAGCCAATGAAAACTCTATGACTGTTAGGTACTGTACTTCATTAATGTTTGATTATGCCATTATGAAAATATTTATGAATTATGCCAGACCACATGAATCAAGGGATCAAAAAGACAAACGGAGAGTAAACATGCATGTGAATGATTTAAGAGGAGATGGCCCATTCAAAAATTCATGAGCTACTGAAATGTGCCGTGTAAAAGAGAAGGGGACAGGAACCGCAAGCCCAAAATAATCTACATTTCCTCTCAGTTTCTTCTCTGAGTCACAGATATAGACCCGTGTGTGTATGCCCACGCAAACATGAGCTCTTCTTACACACACACGCACGCACGCACGCACACACACACACACACACACGCACACGCACACACACACACACACACTGGGTTATGCACACCAGTGACGGGAGTGATCTTAATTGGTGTATATCCCTTGTGGTGCCTCAGCTTTCCCAAGCATAACTGACAGCATCACAAACTGATGATGGCCCAAAAATAAGCATGAGGCACAGATCTGTCTGAATGTAACAATTACTTTTCATCTCTCCTTCCATTTAGCTTTTTCCTGTTGTAAAGACAAATATTTATAATGTTTTCCTTCTGTTGTTGTCGCTCCATTGTTTATTAACACTTTTCTTTTAGATCTATACAAAGGCGATCACTCTAGATTTATAACAAACCATTTGGCTTTGTTGGTGCTGAGTTCTTGCAGTTGTTATTTCTGACAATGGGTCGACAGTAAGCCTGTGATGAATTTACACACAGACCTAGCAGTATGAAATGAAATGAGCTATGCCAGGTGCCCAGAGTTGTGCGAGAGCCAGCAGGCAGTCATGTGGAGCAGCGCTGCACTTCCCCAGGCCCCTCACATCAAGCAGTGCTTTGTAATCTCTCACTCAATTACCTCAGTCAGTGTATTGAACGAGTAGTTGAAAGACATGGTGCTGCCTCCGCATCTGCTCGTTTTTACCCCCTCCGCTCTTTTCTTCCAACTGAGCTTGTCAAGGCTTAAGCTCAAGTGTGCCTTTGCCCAAATGGGCGTTGTTGATTTGTTCCCTTTCGACAGACTTGTTCCTGCATGTTTCTAGATTTTACCGTCTGAATTTGAAAATAATTTGCTCTGTTATTGTTTAGTGTTGTTGTATTATAGCTGTGGAGATGCTAACTTCTACTTGTTGCAACTGTATACATACACAAGGAAAAACAGGGCACTCTCAAGCAGCTGCTGAACTGTATGAGAGACAGATAAGAGACGGAGTGGCTACAAAGTCCTTCACACAATTTAAGATGCATCCTGACCTTTGCCAATGAAATTGATACAAATTGGTTATTCAGAAACAGCAATATGAGGCTGTTAGTGCGGACCAAGTGCTATTTCTAACATTTTACAGATTTGTGGGATATTTTAAGTGTATTTCTTTCATAGTGGTAAGGATGAGGTACCCTACTCTGTTCAGCAATCAGCTCACCTGAACATAAAAAAAAAAAAAAATACTTTTTTTTACATTTAATAACTTTTGATTATGTACATCGTGTTCCATTGTGTGACTGTTCAGTTTATGCATGCATATTATTATCTATGGCCATTCAACTCCTATCATTAGGATAATTTGTTATGCATGTCTGAGAAAAACCAAGAACGCACCTTTAACACATTCCTAGTGAACTTCCCAAAAGAGTTTGGGATGATGAGCAGAACGGGACTGGTGGAGTGACTGGAAGTCCTGCGTCGTTTCTGGTAGGACGGCACTGCCCAGTCCAGGGCCACCAGCCCATCATCGCTCAGCTGCAGGTTGTCCCGCACAAACTGGACCGGACTGTCGTACGGCCAGCACGCCTCGTACACACTCTGGAGGAAGGCGCTTGCCCGCCACGTCCAGCCGACACACGGCGAGTAATTACTGAAAGTCCTGCAGTGTTTCAGGAGATAGTTGGCCAACGCGGACGGTTTGCATATTAGTGCCACGGTGCGTGCTTTCTCATCACAGGCCGCCTGGGAAACGTCGCCCACCTCCTGCTCCGAGACGCACCTCCCGGTCTTGTCCTTGGTTGTCTGTTGCGAACTCCCATGTCCCTGAAGCAAGGCACCCGACTGGCTCTCAGTGCCAAAATATTTGAAGCCTGGCCAGATTAAGCCCACCAGGATCAAAATGCACAGAGCCACAAGCCATTCCAGCATTGGCACAGTTGTTTTGAGCGAAATGAGGACAACAGGGACGCTTTCCACACCTTATCCTGGATCTTAAGTTGATGCTTACAAATGTATATTATAGAAAACAGTCGACAGGAACATGCTCGTTTTTAGTGTGCCGATCTTTTGTCCTAAATTGATGCTCAGCTCGTCCTTGAAGTTTGGTGCTTCCCTCGGTGCCAAGGCGCACCAGTCTCTCTCGTCTTTGCAGGCGTGCTGTCTCAGTTACGCAGCGCTTCTATTGTTCTTGCTCATTCCAAACCCGGCTTCTTGTTTCCATTTCGGTACAGCACTTTTTAATTAACGATGAGATTCCGTCCGTGTTTCATGCATCCAACGTCAACTGGTTTGTTGACCGGCCACGTGCAGGACTGCGCTCAAATCAACAGCTGGGAGCGCATGTCTGTAAGCAACGCGCAGCTAAAGCTGGAAACGCCTCCCATCATGTCCAGCCCCCCTCAGAGGGAGCAGGTACTCCGTGCACATGATAATCTCTGCTGTTATTAGCCATCTCCTTAAATTACTTCAAGTGCACCCACAAAGAGGTACATCTTGAGTGTTTTGCTATCTCTCTGAATCCCTGCGAGGAGTCCCCCATCTTTCTCTTGCTTGCTCTTTCTGTCAGAGAAGATAGCCACAGGAAGTGCATCTGATCTGTTAGATTTTAGTGAATTACTTCTGAATTTCATCATCATGAATTTAGTGAATTACTTCTGAATTTCATCATCATGAATTTAGCAACATGTGTACACACTGTGACCTATAATCACAGATAAAGAGAACAAAAATGAATAAAGCATGAGACCTGGAACGTATAAACTATAGTAGTTTCTTTGGTTGGGACCATGTCAAGTAATGTAACCTGTTTGGCAAGTCTCTGTTGTGTAACAAGATAACTTTAGGTTGACTTCAGAATTGCAGTGTCATTTTTTGTAACTGTAAGTTGAAATAAAGGGTGAAAGTAGGCCAGTGTTCTTTGGACATGCAATGCACAGTGAGCGCTGCAGACATCCAGTTTGATTCAAGCTTACTATTATGGTATGAGCTTATCGACTCTCTGCTATTTTCCCTCCTCGTTATCTATGTAACTCAAATGGCTAAAAATAACCCGTTCATTAATGAAAGCAAGAAACTAGAGAGCAGGGACATTTTAATTGTAAATCAGATATGTTGGAGGATATAGGGCAAATGGAGATTGTCATCTACAAAGGAGTGCTCTTCTCCTCTGTGTACAAGATGAGGCATTTGAGCAAAATGCAAAAACGGGTTGTTATTGAAGGATCCATGGAATATTGAATTGACATCATAATCAGTCACAAACACACTTTAGTGCTACTACTTATAAAGTTGATAGATTTCATGGAAAGCTGTAGCTGCGCTGTCTGTTTTTGAGGGACATGTTGTTTTGAACACTCATTCAATCAATTTAACCGGCGTTGGTACCTACTGTGTGTTATTCCAATTTTAAATGCCACCCCATTCCTGTGGATAAACCAATGGAAAATGAAAAACACATGGCAAAATGGGAGATGCCAAGCGGATGAGCAGAGAATTAAGACAAATGAGTGGCTGGAGGGATTTCGGTATCACCTCAGAGACACTTGAGCCGTGAGCAGAACAGCTCACAGCTGCTGCACCACAGAACCAGGTGGGGGAAGTTGTATTATGTTAATTTACTCAGTATGCAGTTCCAGACATTGCTCATGAGACGCTTCCCATTCGTGAGTGATAACCATCTCAGCTGTGATCAAAAATCCCTTGCTGTAATGCAATTCTAGAAGCTCTGTGGTGGTCTATGAAAACAATTTGATTGTTCACGTCGCTGCACTTAATTCCTTGAAATGTTTGTTACGCAACGTCGATTTAATGTCCTTCAAGCAAAACTTGCAACAAATGTATATATTTTTTCATATATCCTGAAAATAACATTACATTTGATGACCGTTACCGTTATTCTTGTATGATAGTGAGATGTTTTCAGAGGCTACAGTAAGTCTGAGCTGCAGGTGGAGCTGGATTTTCTCTTTTAGTGATTGTCATATTGACCTTGACATGATCACATTTTAGCCGGAGCTAGAGATAAATCAATGAAAGTCACCAACCTTTTTCAAATGTTTGGTAAAATCATTTCATGTTTCGGTGTAAATCTCAATTATTGTTAAATTTTTTGGGAAATCATTCAAGAAGTCTCACAAGGAAAACATTAAATCAAAACACATTTTGAATGTTTTGACTACGGCCACTTCTCTATCGAGGGCTGAGTGAGGCTGATATGCCTCTGTCTACCATATCAAAAAAACACTAGACTTGTTGATTTACTATAGCAAATGTGCCTGAAGGGGTTTTACTATCTCTCCAGCATACTGTAAGACACCCTCTGTCCTTTCAACCCTCGGGAATGTGTCGCCCATATTGATTGCAGTTTAATAACTCACTGGTCTAATTTGCAATAGATCATAAATACTGTAGATGTCAAAGCTCAGAATGAATTGCTAATTTATGCAAATTAAAAATGTCTCAGGAATAGGAAAATTAGACATTAATGCAAGAACACAGTCAATGTTTCCAAAAAGGTCACAAAAGACAAGAAATGTGTGGAACAAAATAATACATTTTGCATTGATGGGAGGCGATGAGGACAAAGAAGGTCAACTTGAACTTTGGGACCAGATAAAATTGACAAGATTAGATAAGGTTTGGACTGACCTGGTAGTGTAGATAGGTTGGACGTTATATATTCCGGGATAACTTGGTCAAAGACCCTGAAAAATGTCACAATGTTGTCTAAAGAAACAAACAGCCGCTGTTGTCCTGTGTTTGAAGAGCCCGACCTTCATCTTTAGGTGTATTGATGACAGAAAAAGGCATATAAGTTGTATGGAACATGCAGTCCTCAGTCCTATCTGTATTGTGTGAATATCGTGTTTACCAAATAAGAGGCATTTAACCATCAATTCAGGGAGAAGACAAAAATATAACGCACATATCTTCCAGCATCGACTAGAAGTCTCTGTAATAGTTTTATTCAAGGAGATACATAAAATAATGAAAACCATTCCTTTGGTGCAAGAAAGATGGGAAGAGCCCAACCCAGTAACTTTTGACCCAGATCACAAACTCGGACACACACAAACACACTAACACCTAATCCGCAATCAAACATTGTGCTTTTATATGCAGAAACTGAAGTCTTTTCCCAGGCGTGCTGACGAAATAGGACAAGTACTAAAGATGTAGCCTCAAGGTTGCACTCTCTCTCACTAGATGCTTAATGAATGAAGTCTCCTGGCTGCGATTCTGCTGAAATGTGCACATCTTAACAGTGGCAGTAGTAGGTACGATCAGTATGAAGAAGCCAATAAAACAATGGAAATGTTTTTCTTTTCTGTGACAGCTGAAGGTGTGTTAGTATCCAGGATGAAATAATTCAGTATTTTGGGAAATAGGCTTTTTGGTTTCTTAGCCTGAGTAAGATGAAAAGATTGTTACCACTGTGTGATAAATATGAAGCTAGCCCCTAGTGATGGCTGTAGCACCTGCATCTTTCACTCTGCAATGATCTTAAACATACAAAATAAAATTAAAAAGCAAACAGTTTTAGAATTATTAGAATTAGAAAGTGTTATGTAGAGGACTATAGTTGCTATCTTTTACTGTTACCGTGGTATGGTTTGTATCAGGCTGTTAAGAGCTTAAAACGTACACCCTTATCCTGCAATGTGTGTATAAAACATGACACAGTTTGTTTGTTTCTAGGGCTATATCAAGTTCTAAGCTTCATTCATAAGATTGGAATGCTTCACAGCTTTTTTGCATGTCAATTCATTGTGTTTAAGGCCGTTTTTTCTGCACAGTTGCATATAAAGATCAGGCCACACTAACATTATTAGTACTAAAAGTGAGCAGGAGAAAAGAGCAGTGAAGACAATTTGGCATTGAATCCCAGGAGAAGAAGAAAGAAAGCACCCTGCGCAGCCTTATGACCCATTTTTTTGTGTTTAAATCTAATTTGTGGGCCCAACCAAACATCCCTCCACCACATTTTAAATCTAGTTAGCTTCTTGGTGAGGATGCAAACCAGCTGTCGTAATTTCAGATGATTGTCAGTCGATTTAATATTGAGATTCTTTAGTTTGACCCGATAATGTCTCGGTAAGAATGAGTGCTTTGATGCTGTGTTGTTCTCGCTGTGTCCTCTTTCTCTCCCTCCTGTCACCATGGCACAGCCACGACCTTTAACGTCAAAACAAACAGCGACTGTGTCATGGCTTCAAACTGATTCAGGGGACAGGGGGCAACGACTTGACTCGGACATGGTTTGGCTTTTCTCTTCACTTATGTATGATTGTTTTAGGAGTAAACTGAGTCTAAACAGAGAACACCAACATCCCACCTAAGCAATTACAAAAGGAGAAATGTTACTGTAGTCACCTCTGCCAACTAAACCTCTGTAGCTGCAACCATACGCATAACTCATGTTTAGGTTGGCCATAACCTTTTCAAACACCAACATTCATTTATGTTGTGTTGCAGTACATGGCCTAACCCTGAACCCTGACTCTGACGTAGGTCTACTGTTGACTGACTCATACTGATGATCAAACAGATGTGTCCACTTCTCTGGGTGGATGTTTGAGAGGCTGCAGCCTCTCCAAAATCCAAAGAAATGTCTCCATTTACACAAACTTGCTTTGTTAACATCAATAAGTCACATATGAATTGAGAGGGTAAACATTGTCCTTCACCAGGTCCTCCAGAAGTGTCATGATGAAAAAATAGGTCAAGTTAGCTAGATGTTTTCTGCAGTCACGAACAGCTCATTCAGCCACAACGTTGCACCGCCACTTTCTTGCACATGTCGATACACGACCACATCCTAAGTGGTGGACTTTCTGCCCCATTTAAACTTCCTGTTGCATCAAAAATACCCTTTCAGCTGAGGCATAAAACTAGCAGCTCACCAAGCTATCAAAGTAAAGACCGAACAGTAAATCGGATCTTGTAAAAGCCACACAGGACATCAGTTTAGATCATTTGCGCAGGTGTTTATCATAATAAGTTGGTCTCATAAACACCCAGTCAACTGCGACAAGGCAAACTAGTGAGGAAAGAATTTTAAAGCTCGTCAACAGGAAAATGAATCTGAGACTTATTCTCAGACAAAAAGTGGAACAACAAATGATGCAACAGACTAGAGAAGCTGTTGATTGGAGAACTTTAAAGACATGCTGAGGCAGAAAGTACAAGAAGGGAGAGGGGATGGAGGTTTAAATAAAACAGAACAAGATAAAAGAGATGCAAGGAGCTCAGAGAATACGAGACATGCACAGAAAGAGATATCAAAGTTGATGAAAGGGACAGAAAAT